AGTCCCAAACAGCACAAGGGTTTTTCAACTAATCTCAGCACCTGGTCCAGGGCTTTCTGTTCTACACTTGTTTTGAGTCAACAGGTTTTCCGTTATTTTACTAAGTACTAGGACATGCATTGAAATGACTGCCCATGTCAATCAACCACATGCTACTAATCGAGAAAACAGAGATTGAATTGAAAAAAGCTGGAGTATTTCTTTAATGACTTAAGAGCAAACCGATTTAGTCTTATATTAAATGTACAGTATAAGAGAGTCTACAGATATCTTATTACAGTGGTGAGGGATAATTCTCAGCCAGATCCAGAGCTGTTGCTGGAACCATACAGTCACCAGTGACATTAAAGTGGACAACAAAGCAAAGTAGAGCTGGAAACTGAGTCTGTTGTGCTGCTCTCAGATTTCAGCTTGAGTCAGCTTTGAGATATGGAATAACTCTAAAGCTGTGGAGCTCCAAAATGGCTCCACCTATGGCTTATAAATGATCAGCCTGGTTGCCACAAGGACAATGCTTAACATAAGGGCCCAGAGAATACTGCCCAATGTCAAGCTCAAACCATACATCTAGACAAGGAAAGCTACAGGTCAGCCATGATGAAAACGACTTGGATATTCGCCTGAGCCTGTCTCTACTATAAATAAGTTTGAAAGGTCGCTTTAAAAAGTCTTGCTAAATTGAAACGAGTCAGATTCAGCTTGAAATGGAAGACCAAGACACATACCTTGTGATGGCTTCCTTTGAAGAGTAAAACAAAAGTCCAATTGAAGTTTTATTTAATCTGAAATTATGAAAACTTCTGAGGCCAAGCGCAAGGAGCACAGTCTCACCGTCACTCAGAGAGAGGCACAGCTAGTCTGAAATAGAGTGCCACAGCCAGCCATCAGTGCGCGCACACACACACACACACACACACACACACAGATAAGCAAGGCAGCTGAGTTAACACAAGACCCCGCTATAAATATCCTACAGCATGGACGGTGGGGAATACTACCCTGTTTGGGAAACACTTTGGGTCTAGCAAAAAGAGCACGGTAAAAGGGATTTTACAAATAAAATTGTTGATCTGCTGCCCACAACAATAGACATTCTTCTGAGATTTGTGCATTCTGTTGTACTTTAAACTGGACTATTAGAAATTACAACCTCAGAGTCCTCCACATTTGTAGACATTTAAGGAGGTTTTGCCCAGAATATGAAGCCTTCAATCAAACCATATTCTACCAATATCCCAAACCCAGTGCAGCAGCTAGAAAAAGAACTGAGCCTCATGCTGGTTTCTGTGACAGACACACTCAGCTGTGAGAAGCACAGTGGAGGTGGAGCTTCACACCGAATAGGAGGTGGGGAGAAGAGGAGGGAGGGAGGGAGGGAGAGGGAGAGGGAGAGGGAGGGGGAGAGAGAGAGAGAGAGAGAGAGAGAATAAATAGTAGCATATGTATTATTTTTGTTATAATACAAATTATAACACACATATCAATAATACCAATCCTGAATCACCACGCATAGGCTTAATTTGGGTCTGGGAAACTGACCTTATCAATCCAGGCATAGGCTTAACCCTGGCCTGGAAAACCAGCCAGTTTCTTTACATTTTATAAACTACAATCTTTATATTTTTCCACACACATCTCATTATTATTTTAGAAAATCTGTACTTGAGTGCTGCTGTCTTCCTACAGTGCAAAGACAAACACCTGTGGACTTTTTCATATCAGAAGCAACACACACACACACACACACATTTCCAAGCCGCTTATCCTTGTTGGTCACAGGGATAGGTGGAGCAGGAAACACCCTGGACAGATCGCCATTCCATTACAGTCATAAGCAACAGAAGAGATTAATTTTCTTCTGTTTCTCAAAGTTAAAAGCTTTAATTGTTTATCTAATGGTGGGTTTTGGTGGTATACCAGGTCTTGGATGGTCATAAGGTTGTTTATATCTTTAAAAATAATTTTTAGATAGTTTCTTTTAATTTTTTTCCCCCCATGTTGGAAATGTCTAATATCCTCAGAAGCCTCTCTTTAAAAATAAATAACATGTCCCTAACAGCCATTTTGACTGAAAATCAAATAAATAAGGGGTGGACTCTTGCAGTACTGTACGTGATCGTGTTTTATAGGCAATCAAACAAGAACAACAAAAGTGATGGCTTATTAAGACAATCGCAAGAATTAACATTTTGTTACGTATGCCTACATGACTTAAATCTTTTGATTCTTTTTAGCATGTTGGAAGATGTTCCTGTTTTTATTGTACACAGTTTAAATCACCCAGACACACAATGACACCGCACTCTAGCAACACCAGCCCTGTCTCTCACTTAATTTGTCAGCATTTGTGTTAAAGCAGCACACAAGCGTCTTGATAAATTTCTTAGTAAGAGGAGTGAATCTTGTGTAAAGTCAGATGCAAAACGATTATCCGAATGAACATAAGTTAACAAAACTTTTTCAGGAAACTTAAATGGTGTTTTTCCAGAAATTCTAAAACGTGTGGTTTGACACTTCACCAGGGGCACACAAAGCTCTGCATATAACTGTAGCCAAGCAGGGGAAAATGTGTATAAACATACATCTTTGAAGCATTAAAGGCATGAAGACAACAGACAAGGCAACACGAAAACGGGGCTTTTATTTCTGAACTGTTTTTAATGGGCAGTCCAACACATGTTCCTAGCTTCTCTGGGAAGGAAAAAAATATTCATTCATTGAGTATCTTCATCAATAATAATAATAATAATTATAATAATAACAACAACAACAACAACAACAACCTTAACTGTAATACCCCCAGACAGTAGTATTTGCGTTTATTTGCGGCACAAAAAGAAAAAAATAAAAAGAAAAAATGTTCTGGTGACTGTAAACCGGAATCTTCTACAGCTCTGTGCTCTATTGAAACCCAGATACATGGATTCTTAGCACAGAGGGGCTAACTCCCCAACCTGACAATAAATATGAAAGAGAGCAAGAGAATCCTGCATTAAACAGACAAAAATAATAATCTGTAACTCGTAGGTACACTATCTAAACTTATGTGCAAGATCTGAGCTGATTCTTCACCACAAATATTTGAAACTCACATCGAACCCAATCCCATCCCAAGACATTTTTTTTTGTTTCTATGTTGTTTCTTTTAAATAAGCCTAACTCATCTGTCATTTCATATACACATATATTTACTTCGTTAGTTTTTTTCCTGTTTACTGTCCTCTGTTACTTATTTTGTCAATCGTTTTGATATCCGTGTTTGCCAGACAAATTCACCTCTACGGACAGACACAAGCATTTGAAAAGAAGCAAAACAATAAAATAGTGAATGACAACCTACCATTAAAATAAAATATAAAACCCCTGAATAAAATGTGAATATTTGGGATTGGTGGAGGTGCCACCGTCTTTGAGAACTGGGTGAGTTAACGTAAATTTTTCTATAGGTACCAGTGATCGCTGGTAGCTTGGAGGCTAGCTACTTTTCAGTCTGTCAGAGACTGTCTTGTCAGAGCCTCTCCCAGCCTGCTGGATCACTTAAATTTGGTCACAATTTTGTACCCTTCCTCAACACACACTTCACTCGTAAAAACGTACCAGTTTTGGCCTTAAAACGCAGGGAATGGAGAGGGTGAACTGTGGTCAGTGAGGGCTATGCAATAAAAGGAGCATTTCATTGGTTCAGGACAATCTTCTAATACAGTTGTTTGGCACATTTTTGTCAGCTTGTGAAGTCGGTGGTTAAAAAGTGCAGTGATAATTCAAACATCCAAACCATTTTGGTTTCAAAATAAGCCCCTTGAAGGGCTGTAAAATATCTTCCTTAAGGATGGCACCTCCTCGACACTTAAAGGCTACAAAAACAGATAAATCCCAAACCCTGCAATTTCTTAGCAAAACCCAGGGTCACATGCAAATCAAAGTTTCTGTTCGAAATGCATGGACAAGAACCACTTTAAAAAACATTACTGCATGGAGAAACCTGAAATATACAAACAAAAGAGGGATAAAGGAAAACTAAAATTGCATTCAAAACTGCCTTTTTATGCCTTTTTGCTGTGCTTATTATTAGCCAGTCAAAAGAAAAAAAGTACATACTTCAAAAATAAGTAATCTATAGAAATCTGCATTTTGTCACATTCAAAACAATATAAAAATTAAAACTATACTGAAATCAAGCATTACAACGAATGGTTTAAAGTTATTTTTCCCCCCACCATCTCTATCCATTCACCTTCTCAAACGCCTGCGTGAATTTCCTCACTGGGCATAGGGCATAGGACACTGACACACAAACACACTTCTGTCTTTGATTAACAGTCTGTCTGCCTGCAGATGGATGATGCCAACACTGATCGACACATGCAGGGCGTCTCTCAGAGATTTCAGTGGGGAAACCTAGATTAAAAGCCTAGTGCACCTCACTATGAGATAAGCCATTCTTTCTTTTGGTCTTCCACACTGATGTATCTGTCTCATCCTGAGGTATGCACACTGACTGAAAGTGGTCAAACGAAACCCACCCCCACTATCCTCCGAGCCGAGACAAAGGGACAGAAACACAGACAGGCAGACAGACAATTCCCCATATATGCAAACATTTTCAAGAAGAGTATACTGTAGATGCACAGAGAAAGGATAGGTTCTTATGTACAGTCAGGTTAGGACTACTATGCTGCTCAATTTCTTTCAAGTGGTCCCCGACTTAAAATCGCCATGCTTTTGTCCATCAGACCAGTGCCACTGTTCAAAGTCCATTCCTGGAGAAGGTCCTTTTGAATAGAGAACTGGAGCTGCAGTTTTTTGGTGCTCTCATGCCATGATCCTGCACCCCTGCTGCTATACTCTGCTCCATTCTTGGAGGAGTCCATTTTCATTCTGATATCTGCAGTTGAGCCCAGAGTCGAGCAGGCTTGTTGTGAAGAATCCTCAGGTCTCAAGTAAAATGTTTATTTAAGTACTTTTTCTGTTGGCACTTTTCGCACTTCAGTAAAGGGGTGTGAAGAAGAGAAAATGGGAATGTTTCCTGCTGACACTTGCATGGGCCACCTGCTTTTAAGTAACTTTTTCTTGTGAATGAACAAACACACACACACACACACACACACACACACACACACACACACACAGTACTGCATGCAAGCACTCACTCAGCCACAATAACTGAATTTGGTCTCTCAGGAGCTGAATACCAAAAATTATCCTCTGTCAATCTCACATTATTTACTCTCAACTCATGAAAGAGTGCAACACTGCAGAGAGGAGGGAGGGAGTGCGATGGCTAATGACCTAACCACCACAGTCCACTAATCAGCATCCATTTATGTGGTCCATTTGCAGAACACAAAACCTCTAAGATGGGTTCTATTAAGTCACACTGTGAGTCAGCAACATTGACAGGATGGGTCAGACAGCATATCTTTAACGAATGGACCAATCAATAAGGTGGCCTCGGCTAATCCAAAAAGGGCCATGACAAGACAAGAGAAGGGACATCTTAAAAGCCATTTTGTGAGACATGCTTTCATTTGATTATATCTCCATATTTTCAAGGCTGTAATTTCATTCAACTTCAGGTGACTTCCTAAGGCAGACAGAAAGAGGTCCTACCAGCCTGCACTGCTGAGATCTCAATACCGCCCTACAACAGCATCCTGCACACTATCTTGCATGTAAGGATCTACTATCTGCATCTTTACACAGACAGCTCCAAAGTGGTAAGTCCAGCCCACACATTCACAGCAGAAGGAATAAAGGGAAAAGGCATAGGATTCAGCTCCCCACAGCATCACATTTCAGTCTATGTACATGTGTGGCTGGCTGCAGGACAGCTGATGCCTGGGGGGGGGGAAGCCTTGGATGAGGAGCTTCACAGACGCAAAAAGAGGGGGTGGGGGTTTAGCGGGGGAGAAAAGTCCAGGAAAAAAGGCAGAAAGTCTCAGTCTGCCCCACTTGAGTCTTCATACTAGTCAACATATACTCCTAGATCAGCACTGACATCAATCGTGCTTTAACATTATCTTGGAGTGGTAACCACCCCAGCGTGTCAAGTTGCAAATGTGTGCGTCTGAAGAACAGAACAGCAACGATTGGGAAATGGTCCAGCAGAAACCTCCAGTGGTGGAGTTTCATCTTTAGATGCCTGAATGAGCACATTGGGGGGCTTTTGTGATACAGGAACAGGTGACATAGTGCATGTGTGTGTGTGTGTGGATGTTTGTGAGAATATGTGGGTTATGGGTGGGTGGGTTGGTGGGGGTACGAGGGAGGAATAGAGAATGATGGGGGGGGTGGTGGTGGTGGTTCACAGGCCATTGCTGTTGCGATGTGTAAGCGGTGGTTTGGAAAGTTCCACCACACCGGCCCTGCCCTTGCCGATGACTTTTGGAGCACGGCGCAGCAGCTTCTGGGCTTCGGTGAATGCCTCGTTCAGCTCCTTTTTCCACTGCACAAACTCTGGGTCACTCTGAGAGGCAAGTGGGGGAAAAAAGGACAAGCAACCACTCAACAAAATGTCAGTCATTTCTTTAGTTGCAGATAACCAATTTATGCTCTAGCATCAGTATGATTATTGCTCCTGATATTACAAGATAACACTGAGAACATGGCAACATGAGAGGAAAGAACTGAAGATAAGAGGACACAATGATGCAGTGAGCACAGTGGGGGAAGCAAACCTACCTCACACTGCAGAACAAACTGCTTCCCTCCTTTGATCCTCAGTAGGATGCATTTCTTGTCCTTGATCTGTGTCTCCTCCACAGTCACTATCTGCTCCATTGTCAAAAGGTTTTGCTGTGGGGAGAGAGACCAATTAGTGAGCCCTTTTGAGAGAAACTTCTAATTCGTCATTGCAGACTGCATTACACTAAACTCATGCAGACTTTACATTCACATTAATCTATTGTCTAGGGATGCATCAATACCATTTTTTAGACTGAATATGAGTACAAGTATACATTCTTTTTTTTTTTGTTTTGTTTTTAGTACCCGCCAATACAGAGATCGATACCATACTGTTTAACCTATGCAGTAGTTACGTGTAAATGAGACAGTGGAAGTCTGGCGGGTATATGTCAAGGCGAACAGTTTCAAGTGACCAGTGTCTTTGTGTCTGGCTGCCAGTCAGTTAACACTTCTTTGCGTGAGCAGAGCCTCCTTCACTGCCAACTTCAGTCATTTGTTCATTAGTGTGGCAGCGTACACTCGGCTTAAGTCTCACTAATCGGGTGGTACAAGAATGTTGATAGTGAATTTTTGAGTATGAGTACGAAAGTACATGGTATCAGCCCGACAATTGATACCAGTATCTGTATCAATGCAACCCTAATAGTGATTACTTGTGTTGCCAGAAATTCTACAGGCTTATTGTTTTAACAAATTTGCTGTTTCTACTAAAACATTTGACTATTTTGGATGACAAAGCATATTTTTTTAAATCCTTGTGTTGGTCTACATTACCCTGAAAAAAAGTGATGCACTGAATCTATTTATTTCCAATTTCCACATGAATGACAAAATAATACAGCAAAACCGATTAGTCATTCATCAAAATAATTGGTATATAACTCGATAACATGGTTTTAAAACACATCATGATCAGTATCTTTTCATTAAATGGAAGGGTGCTGCCTAATTTCATGTGCTCTAACGTGCTAGAGATTGATGTTTGCTCACTTAGGCAGAATAAGAGTTGCCCAAAATGTATTCTGAACATGCTGGATACTGAACATGTAAGCTTCCATAAATAAATCTATCTATAGTCACTGTACTGACAAATACTATAGAAGAGAAAAAAAACGCCAAATTAGCCACCCTCCTAAATAACTAGGCAAAGTCAAACAACTTGAGAAGTTACCACAATTAGTGCTAGCTTATTAGCATCATTTAACAGGCTACTGCCTTGTGGAAAGAAGTGCAAATGTAGGCAACAGGTTAAAACTCAGACCGTACTGATGAATAAACTACAATAGGCTGAAAACTTACTACACCCTCACACAGGACAGGGAAAATTCTAGAACTGTTTGCACGGTCACATTCAATGTATGAAGAGAGGAAAAATTCACACATATAGTCACTAGAGGGAGGTGATCACAAAAATGCTGGAGCTTCCATTCACACAAGCATAATGACATACTATTTCTGGATCCAAGTGTGTGCACTGTGAGAATGTGGGGAGTTTTTCTCTTTTGTCTGCCATCAAAAGCAAATGGTAAAAGGTAACTACTTTCTGCAGCTCAAACTCATATCAGCTTTTACAGAGAAAAAAAAGACCACAGTTCATATACATCCTGCTCACTGTTAAAGGAAAACATGGATATACAACGTGTTAATGACCAAAAGTATTAGATCTAGATTTCAGGGAGATGCAGCAGGATGTCAGAATGATAATTTGATCTTAAACAACCAAACAAACAAAGAAAAACAACAAAAAAAACACTCCTACAAGCAGTGTCAGTAATATGCTTGTTAACACAAAACCTTACACAATGGGTCTGATAGGGCTGAATGATTCATTGTTTTGCATCAAAATTGCAAACTGAAAAATGTGCAATTTTCAAAGTGTGAGAGTTGTCCTAAATTTTAAGTAGGGAAATTAACCTTACAATACAAAACTTACAAACTGGCAAGTATGACATTAGAGTCACTGTTTAAGCCACAAGTCAGGGGGGAAAAAAATGTATGCACAGGTCTTTTTGCATTAGGGCCAGAAGCTTAATTTAAAGGAAATAATAACATATAACCTGTGTCAACTCTAATCCCAACACTCTTCTGACAGTTTATCTGCTATGTGCTAGTGGAGGGAAGAGGTTGGATAATCAATGATCTCCAAGGGCAGGGCTAGCAGCCCTCCACTTTGGCATAAACATTAGGTTTCAGATGCCATTTAACTTTCTCAAAAGCATGCTGACTACTGTAAACAAGGTCAGAAATGAACAAATGTATACAAAAGCACAAAATGAGAAGAGGAATTTTCTGACAGATGGTGAAAACCATACTGATGAACAGTAGTCAAGCCTGCACAACTCATTTCTTCTGAAATCACTAAAATCTGACTTATCCAACCCCCTTCTCCTCCCTGCACACACAAACGCTCAAAAGGAAGTCCCCCCTTTAAGATTAGAGAGAAACTAAATCCAGGTAGCTGGTGAAATCTCAACTTTTTATCTTAGTTACAGATCACTGCTGAAAAACACTGGCCCCTGGGAACCTGCAGTGACCTACTTCTCTGTAAATGACTGCTCAGTGGGCCCCATCTCCGGATGGGAAATGCTGGGTTTGCTAGAGAAGACAGGATTGCAGAAGTAAACATGGGATTTTAAACTGCTTAAGACTACTTCCACAGGTCTTCAGAGGTAAAATGCATAACTACAGGAACACAGTTAATAACTATGCAGGCCAAAGCATTTCCGGTATATGCTAATCTCTACAGCACTGTGATGCCCCGTCTCCTGCATTTCAATCATTCTCTCCACTTGCACCAAGGCAGTGTAATGAAATACAGAAGAACGGAAAGGGAGAGGAGGCATTAGACAGTACGCACTTACCTTAAGTCCATGTTTTTTAAAAGTTTTTATCCAAAGATCCTACAGAGTGAGGATAAATCGGTAACGAATATTTAAGAGCTCTCTCTGAGACATGTACACAGTCATGCCTTCACAGACAGAATAGTGCAGAAAGGCACACAGACTTACCCTAGACTCGCCTTCTCCTCTCCATTCTACACGGTTGGGGAACAAATAGAAGTATCGGCGCTGCCATTGAGTCAGGAAAGGGTTGCCTAGCTTCAGCATGTAGCCGTGCATGATGCAGTCTTTGCCCAATGCATAATCTAAGCAAAAGCAACATGACGGCTTAGTTAGTTGCCAACACCTATTATCATTGTAAAGGGGGAAAAAAATCTACACCGACATAAAACCTGAAAAACAGTAAACAAAAACAAAATTTCAAAACAAAACAAAAAAAGATGGTCTTAAAGTAAAACAATGATGTTCTCACATAAGGTCAATTCAAGCTCATTTTCAATAAATACTTCTCAAAAGGATTCATGCTAATGTGTCCTATGTGTCCTAGTCATGTGATTTTCACATTTTCCCCCAAAGCAAGAAGTACACAATCCTCTTAGCTTGTACCTTAAAATGTTTTTTTTTTCCTGTTTCTGTTTTTCACAATAAGATATAGAAAAATTAATGCTTATTCCCTCCCACCAGCAACTGCTACCTAATGTATTAATGATTCCTGTAGGGAACATACAGCTTGTGTTCCCCCTCCTTTTCAATCTTTAAGAGAGTGTGTCTGCATGCTAGTGAGACCCTCACCCTCCTCGTGGCCCTGCTGTTTGTTCTTCGCTCGCTTGCGTGCCTCAATCTTGTCTGTGTCACTGTTCACTGCCTCGTACACCGTCTCGGCCACCTCTTGCTGCCAGCGCTCTGAGATTACCAGAGGAAAGTTCTTATATAGCTCCTGATCACTGTCCAGTAGCTGAAAAGACAGAAGCAGACAAAGGTGAAGATGCCACAGAGTGAAAAAGAGAAAGAAAGTGTGAGTAAAGAAAAAAGCAAAGGGGAATGAGAAGTAGTAGCAGCAGTAGTAGTAATAATAATAATAATAATAATAATAATAATAAAGTAAACAACAGTAAAGAAAAGAACAAAGGGGAATGCGAAGTAGTAGCAGTAGTAAAAACAACAACAACAACAACAACATTATCTATAGAGCACTTTTCATACTAGTGGCAGCTCAAAGTGCTTTACAGACAGGTGATAAAGCTTACCAGTAATATAAGAAATTACGAGTAGTATATTATAAATTATATAAGACAATAACAGATCAAACAAAAAAATACAAAAGAGATATAGAATTTTAATTAAATGTTAATAGATATGTTTTTAAAAGTGTGCACTGAGCTTGGCTGTCTAATAAAAGGTGGAATTGAGTTGCACAGTTTAGAGCTCTGTAGTGTTAACAGATGACATTCAAAAGCTAGAATACTGTATCAACCAAATACTGTATCAACCATATACTGTATTGACTAGGCTATCTGCTAATATGCCACAGTATGTTACGCCCTGCTTTGCACAATCTGCATATTCTCAGTACCGTGTACTGCCTGTGTTCTGTTTTTGTATTTATTGTAAGGCTTTTGTATTTATTGCATTTGTCTTGTCTGCCCTGTGTATATTGTATTGTTTTGCACTTGTGTTCCTGTGTTGCACCATGGTCCTGGAGGAATGATGTTTCGTTTCACTGTGTACTTGCACATACCTGAAATGACAAAGTCTCTTGAACTATATAGAGGTGATGCTTCATACACTTCACTAATTAAATGAGAATGAGGAAAAAAGCTGTCAGGTGACCTGGATACACATGCCAGCTAAAAAGGCTGACGCTTACTCTGTCCGGGAAACCAAATGCACAGCTGAGATGAAAAAAGACACACGGGCCAGAGGTCAGCAGAGGACAGGCTATACTATGTTTGTGTGTGTACAAGCATGTGGAGAGGGAGAGAGAGAGAGACTGAGAAAGAGAGACAGAGAGAGAAAGCACACACCTCTGGTCATACAATCATCAACCATAAACAGTCCTGTGTTGCTAGGCATGTCTGCCACCCTCGCAAAGTGCGACAAACTAACTTTTGTTCCATCCAGACTTGGCTGGAGCTCTTAGGGGCATGCCTGAAACTTTCGTTTAACCGTAGGCAAGTGTAGAACAAAAGCTGACATTTTCTATGGCCCTCTCCCTGAGCAAAGAACATTCTTGTGGACACTCGAAGGCATACCAAATAGGCCACATGCTTGGAGGGTTATTGAACTGTAGCTATGTCCAGTTCTGAGTGAAGAGGCAGCCATTAATACATAAAGAAACTGAGTGGGCCACTGGTTTGAAGTACTTTTTGGTGTAGGCTTTTTACCTTTATGCCTTTGGTGTCCTCCTCATCAAAGGAGCCTATGTCGAAGGCGTCGGCAGCGTTGACTTCTCCCCGAGGAGGGATCAGCGGCGGAGAGTACTGCAACCAAACAACACAACAGAGTGGGACTTGCATATGGTCACTGAGCTTTTCAGCTCAGAAAAGACAAACAGGAAAAATAAATGCATACAAGACACACATGAACCCCATCAGTCACTGTAGACGTGTAGCTTTACCTTCTGGAGATAAACCTGCTGCCAGTCGATTCCTTTGAAGAACAGATGTTCCTTCACTTCTTGAGCCCTACAGGGTGCATAAATGAGAAGAAAAAGACAGAGGAAGAAAGAAATAAGAACGGGGGGGGGGGACCCACCAGGCACCACCTCTAACCACCAGGTGTCAGTGCTTCAGTGAGTGATAACTGCCTACATTCAAGTATATTCACACCATAAAATACAAGGGCTTTCCAGCAAGTTCTGGCTGAACACAACTTTGTGTATAAGACTGCACAATAAAACCATGTTTGGTCCATGCAAGGGATGCTAGGTATCAAAAACAAACATTATGTTTGATTATTCATGTGAACGAATTGACTAATAACCGATGAACCGACTTGTAAGTGTGAAGAGCTGTCACAATAAAATGGTAGTGTTCTGACAAACTAAGGTACTGTTCCCTGCTAAATTAACACCACAAAAAAATGTGGCTCTTCATTAAAGGCTGCACGTAATTTAGTTACAGTAAGCAATGACTAAGCAATATAATGTTATAGCTCTGGCTGCAACATCATTTAAATGGCTTAACTTTTTCACACGCTAGTTCACCAGACAAGCTATGTGTGAACAGGTTTCCAGGACAAGTGGCATATTATTATTATTATTATTATTATTACTATTATTACTACTACTTTTCCAAGCGAAAACCATGTTTACAAAATGAGTTGTATTTTAGTCTAATCACCCAGTTCTGTGTAGTTAATTAGCTAATGTTTTCATGACTGAGCCACAAAATCTTCAACAGTCTTTAAAGTAGCTGCTAAATACTTCTTACAAACAGGGATGAACTGCGTGTCCTAAAGGAGTACTTCAGTTTGTTAGATCACCAGCATGGAGAGAAAGCTACGGTTTACTAAAAGGCTGAAGTTGGCTTTCTATTTCCCAGTTTCTTATTAAAATTTTCCATTTCACCTTAAACGGTGCAGCAGTTACATTCTGGAGATTATAGAAAACTAACTTCAGTTGCGTCCATTTACTCAGTGTTTTGCTGCTTCGACATGTTTTCTTTCTGGTGGTTGAAGGTAACAATGTTATTCCATTGAAAGTTAGGTCAGACTTAGCTATGTGATTATATGTACTTCATCCTTTATTTTAAGAAAATGGTCCTAGGCCTTGTTCTTTTCTTTTGCTATCTGCTCACATAAGCACAATACAAAGGAATTGCTGCCATCTTCAGGTTATGTCATTAACTCACTTTGGGTCATGTTGGACTTTTGGACAAAATTTGACAAAATTGAAAAACTGGCAACGGAAACACTTGTTAAATTTTTTTTTTTATGGTCAAAATTATCAACAATATTGAATGAAACTACTTCTGAGACAGTTAATCATCAATATGTGATGTGATCTTGGGGAAAACAAACAAACAAAAACAGCCTGGGGTCAGGCGAACTTACCCTCGACCTTGGCAGCCCAACCTCTTTGCCACATCTCTTTGTAACAATCCTTCCAACAGAGACTTAAGTTCAGGGGAAAAAGAATCTGGCAACTCCACATTCTAAAAGGAGAGAAAAGAACAAAAGTAGTGCCAGTCCTTTACACCAAGGCTAAACCTGCTAAGCATTACAGTCAGTATCACTGACTATAATTCTTAATCAGTGACTATCATTCTTTAATAAGGAATCCTGTACTGGAATTTGAAATACTTCTTATTTTTTTCCCCCAACCAATGGTTACGGGGGCACCATTAAACAGGCCTGTGTGTCCTCCAAGGTCACCATGTTTGGTAAAGGTTAGAGGAGACAGGGTGCCAAGTTGCAGCACCCTGGCAAGCTCCTTTCTTAAGGATGCTCTGACATTGAGTACTAACCTGGACTACTGCTCATCCTTTTTAATATACAGTGCTAGGGATTATTTGTCAAGCCCAATGTTAAGAAAAACTAGACAACAGTGAATTTTACAAGACGACTTATCACAAAACCTTGTTTATGGATGTTTTGAAACCATGCTGCTCTGGCATGTGGCAGCAATTTGGATGGAAGATTCTCTTTGGAATATATTGCAGTTCAGTGCCAGTGTTTCAATTCCGACATGAGAGCATATCTGTAACACTAGTGGGACAAGCCTTGTGGGAGTTGAAAAAGCCTCTGGGTACAGCTTCCATCTTTACATTTTAACCAAAAACAGTGATTAACTGGTGTAGGATAACAAAGCTACTGAACCACAGAGCAACAAGGATATCTATGCAATCAACCTCAGTGGTTTTGAGGTTTCCCCAACAAAAGGTATTTTTGCCTGCTAGGGAAAAATCATTTAGAGGAGAATTCAGCAGGAATCTTGGACAGGACAGGTGGCATTCCACCTGTGCATCTTTCCTGTAGGATTGCTGCACAGCTCACAATGCTGGCCTACAACTAGTCTTCTTGTCCAATTAAAGATAACCCCTATAAAAGGCCCTGGACGGCTGAACGTAAGATTAGTGTAAAAAAACATTTGCTGACAAGCCCTCCCCAGTTCAGTACAGGTCAGATAACAGTGAGTGTGACAAACTGTAAAATGCAAAGCGAGGATGCAAATTCAAGTGGCTGTTTCCCTTTCTGCTGTGCATAAAGGTATAAATGAACGTGTGTTTTAATAAGGATATGTTCCAACTGCTCTTCCAAAGAAGGCACTAAACTCTACCTTCAATTTATAGCAACACAATGAAGTTCACACACACACACGTATATATATATATATATATATATATATATATATATATATATATATATATATATATATATACACATAAATATATATACATAAATATATATATATATATATATATATATACATATATATATATACACACATACATATACATATATATATATATATATATATATATACACACACACACACCTCATAAAAAAGACATAAATAAATAAATACATAAATAAAAAACACAACAACAACAACAACCAACAACAACAGCTTACCATTGTAAGCGTCATGCGGTCAATCTCATGTTTATCTTTGGTCTTGTGCTGCCGGAATGGACTGTGCCTGAGACAAGAGGTGCCAAACTTCATGTTACTGAACACAGAGCTGCCTCAACAGAGGCCAAGCACACAAGTGCAGAGAGGACAGTTGTATATGAAACTTCAGTGGTAGGTGATGGTTAAAGACAACCTCAGCAATACACATGGCTGTAACTAGCTATGAGGACATAGAGGTCCAGACCTCGGTAGTTTCAGCAGGATATTTTTTTTCCCCCACTTTTGCCCGTTCATGAGATGAAATGTAGAAACAGCGCCCTTATGATAACGTGGTAGTCTACACATAGTACCCAAACGGGGACAGAATATTTATTATGCCGCATTTTTCATGATAATGAAATTGGATTTTTTTTTTCTGTGAGTGCCGTCACTTTTGTTATGGCCAATCTAAATCTGCCAGGCTCCACCTTACTTTTCTCAACACTCCAATCACTGCTTAGCAAACACTGTGGCCATAATGTTCGTAACAAGCGTTAGGACTCTTCCTTGAAAGTTTCGGAAGGGTTTTATGAGATTCAGTATAGAAAAAGCGACATAAGTTAACTACCCAATGAGCTGTGACTGATTCTCAGCTGACCCTAGAACAGCTGTGGCTTGGCCATAGGCTTGACTGCCACTCTGTTTATCTCTGTACAAGATGCTACACTGCCCCAAGTACCAGAGTAACTGATTTCCTGAGATGTTCAGGTATGCAGCACACATGCTATAGGCCAAGATATGATACCGCAATGGCAAAAATGTAGCTAGCTAAAAGTTTATAAGAGCAAGTAACACATTAAGATTGTAAAATGCATAGCCTGTATTTTATTTTTTGTTTGGACTGCTCATAATGTTGCTGGCTAAATCAGCAATATTAGTGATTAGATGAGAAATTAAAGCTGTAATGTGTTACCTACTCATAATAATGTACTACAACCTGCATAAGAAAGTTCACTGTTAACCAGCATATTAATGGTATAGTATCATGTAGCTAACATTATTAAGAAATCAGCAGGTACATTCAGCTGTATTTTGTGCCATTAACCATATGAGTAGCTACCTTTTCCGTTAGCTGGGGTTCAGTACAGATAGCCTTTTATAACTTACGTTTAATGTGTGCTTTTCCAGTAATCAGTGAGGACAGAGATGCAAAAGAAAGAAGCAGAGAGAGAGAGAGAGAGAGAGAGAGAGAGAGAGAGAGAGAGAGAGAGAGAGAGAGAGAAAGAAAGAGAGAGAGAGAAAGAAAGAGAGAAAGAAAGAAAGAGAGAAAGAAAGAGAGAAAGAAAGAAAGAAAGAAAAAAAGACAGACAGACAGAGAGAGTATATGAAATAAAACCAATTAGAAACTATAACACCTGTTTTCTGCCTTCCACCCAATGACCAGTGGGATGGCCTCCCACGACCCAGAAGGATAAACGGCTTAAAAAATGTTTTTTTGTGCGTGTGTGTGAGTGTGAAACCATCACTTCAGTTAGTGTAGGTTTTAACAAGTTTTTTAGCTAATTCTGAAAATAAACATTTAAACAAAGTTATATGCTTAATTAAATAAACTTAAACAGGATAACTCAAGTCAAGTCAGTTTATGTAAGAATAATAGCAGTTTACAGAAGAATGGAGGAATGGCGAAGGAACAAATGAAAGAAAAAGGTGCATTAAGAGTTCTGGATGGGTAAAAAAGAGCAATGATTTAGTTAAAAAGAAAAAAAAAAACCTAATACTAATATTCGGCAGTTAGTTCATTCACTATGAGATGTAGGTTACATTGCTTCAAAATAGACCTCACTAAAATTTTGATCCTAGTTACAGCCCTGGCAATACACAGTAGCTGTAAGTGTGCTATAAATTTACTCATGACCTCTTCCAAACGGAAAAATGTAGGCACTGTGGTAATCTATTAGAAGTCAAAATGTTTTGTCTTTTGCTGACACCTTTCTGCTCTGACATTAGTCTCACATCTGCTTGAAGTATATATTCTATCTCTCTCTCAATGAAGAGACACGTCAGCCTCCTCACCCAATGCATGCAATTCGCTCTCCCCTGCCTCCCATCCTAGCAACCGCTGCTTTCAACAACCCCCTCTCCCTCCCCCACCCACTCCCTCACTCTCCTCTGTGATGTCTGTGAGCTGACCTCCTGGGTTGAGACCCCTGACATTTAAACTTCACTCTCCACATCAAACAGGTATGAGACAGAGAGTGAAACATGGGGGGAAGGGGGAAGAGAGAGAGAGAGAGAGAGAGAGAGAGAGAGAGAGAGAGAGAGAGAGAGAGAGAGAGAGAGAGAGAGAGAGAGAGAGAGAGAGAGAGAGAGAGAGAGAAATGTAGCAAAGACAAGAGACATGGCATGGTAAAGTATTCATGAGCAGTCCAGTCTGCTACACATAGTAGGAGCACAAGGAGTTGGTGGGCTCTTACCCTCGCAGAAGTTTAAACAGCATGCAGCCCAGAGAGAACCAGTCAGCGCTGCTGTCATATGCTGTCCCTTTCTGCAGGACCTCTGGTGCCATGTAGCCATGGGTACCCCTGCAAAAGCAACAGTTTCACTTTACTGTTACACCACCCATCCCCTAGTGGTAGATAAAACCACCAACAAACACCTGATGCAAAGGTTCACCTTGTTTTGTCCTGACAAATGATATAAAATAATAAAATAATAAAAAAAAATAATAAAACTCCTGGACCACATTCAAAAAGGCACAAAAAATATTCAGTTTTATACACTGTATCCCATATGATTGTTTATTGATCACCAATGTCCAACCTGACCTATTTGTTCTGCCCATCCTAAACCCACCTTACTTCTAGGTCAACTAGCAACCAAACCGGCCATGGCTGAGATTAGGACAGTAGTCAGCCTTCAGACAGTTTATCAGCATTATCAGCACAAACACACATACTTTATTACATAAGCAAAAGCAAGCAGGAAGACAGGCTAGACAAAGTTAGCAACAGCAACACTCACAAAATCTGATCAGTATCTTAGGTGTCTAATTGTCTAATACAATTAATCTGTATTCAGTGCACTCCTACTTAATAGAGATTCATTTACATCTAAATTATAATTAGCATAGGTCTTCAACTATAAAGAACACACTTTAAGAGCTACTCACACACTGGCGTGTGGTTTCTTCTTGGAGAAATCGCAGGCCAAGCCCAAATCAGAGATGCGAACATGGCCATGCTCATCTAAGAGGATGTTGGCAGGCTAAGGAGGAAAAATAAAAAAAAAAGGAAGAGATGAGAAGATCTAGGAGAAGAGCAGAAAACGGGTTGAAGAAGAACAGAAAAACGCTGCCTCTAGTATGACCTCAAAACAAGACACTTCTGATGAAGTATCTTAAACAGAAACACAACATTCAGAAACACAGCACCAGTTTCTCACAGCTTTTTATTTAAGCTGTGCGGTATGCCTAAAGTACGGTTTTGCTTGCCCCTCAGGTTATTTTTTATAATGATTTACTGTTCTTCCTTTCATTTAAAATATCCCTGTGCATCTACCACATGTGACCTTGATTTGTAAATGGTTAGCACTTCATGTAAGGAACAAACACCCTGTCAAATCACATGGCTGTTTCAGATTTTTTTCTATTAAAGAACATTGCTGACTGTTGTAGCTGAAAGCATGATGCTGTGTTGGACCAAAAATTATCCAAAATGAACACACACAAGTGCTAACACCTCATTTGATTTGGGTAGCTACATGTGAGCTGGACTCAAAATTAGATTTTCAGTTAACCCCTTAAATGGCCAGCGCCCACCAGAGGGTCCAAGGTTTTATTAACACACTTGTATAACCCAATAATAGCTCTGCCAGTTTGCATTATGGTCCTTGGAGTTCTGAATAATAAGCATGAGTATGTAATAAGCGTGAGATTTTAAGGGGTTAAATACTTGAGGTAGTACTTAAAATGAAAATGCTTTTGTGCACCAGTGTTTTTTCCAGTCATCAGATATTAAATACACGGTTTGGGATCCAGTTGATCTGGACAACACAGAACCAAAATAATGTCTGCTGACATTCTCTGTTCTATGACAATAAACAGTGCAGATTCTTTCAGTGCAATGCAGACCCACCTGAAATGGAACATTTTTAAAGGAGGAAGAACAATATATGCAAACTTTGCTTTTAAGCAAAATGTTGCTGGTCAAATAGATCACTATCCACCATATATTACTTATAAACTTGGTACAATACAAACTATGTAATATTCAAATTTCTTTGATCACTGTTTTACGTTAGATTTCAACTTTTGATAATCAAACACAGATTTTGGCATAAAGTGTCTTCTGTTTGTCAGGTGGCAGACAGCTATCAAGAGGTTTTAAGTACAAAACATATTCTTGAGCAAAAGCTACATGAACACAGTTCCCCTTACCTTGAGGTCTCTGTAGACAACAAATCGATTATGCATGTGCTCCAAGCCCAAGATAATCTCTGCTGCATAGAAGCGCATTTCTTTCTCACTAAAGACTCCATGCTGGGAGAGATGATAATGAAGATCCCCACCTAAAACAGTAGATTATATTTTTTTGCATTATTTAAACTTCATTTGTCAAAACAGATCGCCATATACCTTCGGTATACAAATATCAGAACATCAAACAGTGGACAAGTGGCTAATTCTCTGCACTATTTCTTAACTTAATGTCACTATGCTAATGAAGTTTCAGTAAACATTTTCTGAAAGTCAAACTAAAGATTTTAATGAATGATTAATTAAACTGAGAGGTCACAGAAGCAGCACACAAGAAACAAGATTAATTCATGGTTCAGCATTGAAACGCTGCCTACCAAGTATTTTGAGCAAAAGCTAATTGTTTTGACATGCTGAGAGCATTCTAGGAATCCTCAGAACAAGCACTACCTTAATCCACATTCATTGTAAAGATAGTTTCAGAGATTTTAAAAAGGCACACCAAGTCAGAGGGTCAGAGCAGCAGTGTTAATTAAAACAAGAGTGAATGTGCATGTGAAGACTAGAAAAAACCTGCCCTCTGTACAGGCCTGCATGATGTTACATAGGAGGCCTGAGATTAGTGCCTTTATTAGTGTAATCCTATTGGGAAGTGGCGTCCTGGTTAGGGGGATCTGAGGAGCAGAGCAGTACTGGGCATGAGAGACACTGCGCAGAGAGTAAAATGAAGAAGCTCTTACCATTCATCAAGTCCAGGATGAAACACAGCTTATCGGGGGTGTGGAAGGCGTATGTCATGCACACAATAAACGGACAGTCCTGGAGAGAGTGAGAGCAACACACACAAGTCACCAAAAAAAAAAACAACATTCAGACTTTTGTAACTAGCTGTTGATACAAACAATGTGTTATATTTCGTGGTATTCTCACTGCACTACAACTGAGCACTTCTAGTGAGTCTATACTGTAGCATATAAGGCTACTAAAACGTTTGTTCCTTATTCATTACTGTGAAATTAGCCTTATCAATACTACAAAAAAGAAATGTGCAGAATGACAATGAACCTTCAACTACACACTGAACGCTTTATTATGTGCTATGAGCATGCTGCCTAATTAAAGATGTTCTTTGGGTGTTTAAATGAGTTTGTGCATTAAGACGTTTTCACAAACAAAGAAATTAGCAACAAATTATGCAGATCAATCCTTAACCAAGCCACACCATGGGATGACTAATGCATTTTCAATATACTGCAAGCTGTAATATACTGATACAGCCATACTTCAGGAGATTATGTCTGTAAACACCTCACTCACCCCTGTGCTGACCAATGACAGCATGATTCTCTCATTGAGTGCCAGGGTCTCACCCTGCTTCATCTTAATCCGCTTCTTATCCAAACACTTCATGGCATACCTGACAGACATAAACCAGTTCACCAAGGTAAGAATATCCATTTTTACAAGCTATTCAATCTCTTTAAAAAGTCTTCCCAAATTCAAGGTTCATTCTGTGAACTCACATTTTCCCTGTGTCTGCCTTCCTGCAGCCGTACACTTCTCCAAAGCCCCCTCTACCAATGATCCGATGAACGCTAAAATCGTTCATTGTTAACTAGTCAAGAATACAAGGCATATTTTAAAACAAATTACTGAGGAAAACAAAGGCTAACAAAATCCTGGTTCAAACTGCAATAACAGTGAGCTGCAGTTGTTGGGTCTAGATATCAATGCCTGCAACAAATACATAAACAAACTTGCTGAATTAAACATTAGAAATTTGACAAAAAAGGTAAACATTGTTTCCTTAAATTTAAAAGCTTCCTACTTGCCAGGTTACATGCCTGAGCTACTCATATCATTCTTCTAATCTTGCATAGACACTCAAGATAAAACTCACGTGAATATTTAGCTCTACGTTCTTCCACTGGCAGAAACGAGTGAACTTATCGCTGTGCGGCAGAGATACAGGTTGGATTGTTAGACAAACCAGTGATAAGGCAACAGGACAAACTAGCTTTCACAACATATAGATAAACAAAAGAAAACTGAAGAACAGCATGTTGTGCAAATCACACAGTCGCACCTTTCTATGAACTTCTGAAATATCTTCCCACGCAGACTGTCACAGATTTCCACAATGTACGGCTAAGGAGTGAAAAGAAACACAAATCATATGTGGAGCCCCTGTAAAATGCCTAGAAAGGTGGGTTGTCGGCATCCTCATACACTGATACAGTCAGGATGTCCACAAGCACTGGAGATGTTATCATTAAGCAGTTGTCATTATAAAAGTCATAATAAACATATTACAAAAATGAATGAATTCCCATAAAGCAGTGCTTACAAATAGCTCTATTTGCCATCTGTGCTTTGGTAAATGTGTCAAAACGCACATGCAACTTTCTCCTTTATAGGCCTTCTTTATTGTATTTTTCTTAATTTCTTAATTTAAATCTTAATTTTTAAAACAGAGTTTCACCACAACCATTTTTCTGGATATTTATTTTATTATATATTTATTTTAATACTGATTTATATTTTTTTTTCTGGATAGTTATTAAATACAGAAATAGTCAAACACTATTACCATTAAATGTTAGATATACATCAAAATTCCTATTTTTACAAAACCTCCTAGGACACTTGCAATATGCCTGATCAACACTTCAATGTACTCTACTTGGGGAAACTCAAAATGACACTACTAAATACAAATTCACTATTTAGTGAAAAAGTTAAAATGACAAGAGTGCTATACAACAAGGCCTACAAGTATACAATAATAAATCTAGTGTAATTTTTTATCAGATTTGAAGAGGAAAATAACAGTTATCTCTACAGTTGAAGACCTGATCATGCCAACCATGTTGCTGATTTACAATCCTACCTGCACAATGTAGCAAGCTAGCTTTTAATTGCCGTCTCTCACCTGAAAAAGGGATGGAGGCACCTGTTTCTTAGCCAGGTGAGATTGGACATGGTCCACTGCGGTCTTAGAGAAGGGCTGCAAGACACACAAAAGCAAACAAATACACACACGCAAGCTGAGAGTCATAAACCTGGAACACAAGCCGTCGTGTTCGCAGTAAATATTAAGTATCTACATTGATTTCCTTTGCTTCCCTCGGCTGAACTTCTATGTTATGGTGTTATCCAAATATATGACAAAAAAAATATGATGTAATCTTAGTGACTTTAGACCCTGTGTGCCATTGTGATGGTCAGTAATGGGGCATGTAACTGCAAGCCCTTTTCTAAACGTAGAAAAAGACTACATTTAAATGGTGCCTGGGCTAATTAAGCAGGCCAGAAAGGTATGTGGCTTAAAACAAGTTATTTGCACCAACACAAATACTGATTTATTTTAATGGATTGTGCTTTTGGGAGCGATGCTATGTTCTTACATGCGAACATGACAGGAGCTCCTTCATTATGTAGCCGTCGTAAATCTGCCGGCTGCGACTTAGCCTCTCTTCCTCTGAATCCAGCTTCTCGTACTCTTTAATCTGAGAAGACAAAATGAGATTGCAGTAATCTGAAATACAATCACATGCTCTTTAATCTGACATACAGTTGACAACTTCCCACTGAAGGATAAAACATTCCACTGTAATAGTCATCAGGCTGTGTTTTCTTTCTAAAACCATTGTAGTCTGGCAAGAGGTGCACAGTAGCTAGTTGAACGGGAACTGTGCAGAAAGACCATCAACTCCTGATTAAGTGAAAAGAAAAGAGAGAAATCTAGTCTGTCAGGAAATATCAAAGCTGGTCTTACCTCTTCGTAGAACTTCAGCTGGGGAACTGCCTCATCTATCTCGTTCATACAGAAATCCTTGAACAGGAGGAACCCTGAAAAAATAAAGGCACGTGACCACATTCAAGCATTTCATGTTTAAAAGGATGCCCTTATAAAGAACATAAAGGTGAAAGAAAATTGTGTTGCACAGTCCTAAAAGTAAAACGTCATGCAATGTATGGCACCTTACCTTTGACAAACAACAGTCTTTAGGAATGAACTGCCAAATACATCAATGGCATCGATCATGCCAATGCAAACAAAAAATGACCACGACATTTAACAGTGGACTGCTCAGACAATAAACTGCACCCTCGTGACTATAAATTGCACAATGCACAATGTTTCCTCTGTTTCCAGAGGAATGGGTCTTGTCAATTTAACATTCTAACTGAAAGCATAAAGAACAATGAACAATATAGAACAATGTTCTCAATCAAAGTCAAAATCAAAGTCCATCTATAGTAATTTATTGAACAATAAAACAAAGGGATTTCTAGCTTGCACCATGACAAAAATTACGATTTCAATTATTTTGAACAATACAATAGCGTACAGAGCCACAACAGTTGTCGGGGGAAAAGGACTTGCTACGTTGCTCGCTCGAGGGATGTGTCATAACGCTGACTTTCAAATGGAATACCTGAAATCGCACTAACTGGAACCTTTAATGAGCTTCCAAAGCTTGATTTCTGATTATTGTAAGTTCAACCACACAGGTCTGTGGAAATCCCAATGGTTTTATGTAAAGTTATGTAATGGCATGACATTTTCACTTTGTGTACTCCTCCCTTATTTCAGAGTGAGGGTAAGGGCATAGGACAACCAATGAACACTGTAAATGAACGCCGTGGACGACAACAGCGACCAAACCTGCGGGCAATAGATTAGACGCTGTTGAGAGGATTAGCCTTAATCAGAAGCGAGACACTACTCATCTATTTCAGCAATCCTCCATCAGACAGCTGCCTTGACCTTTCACTTCACCAGTTCTGCTAAAGGCTGGCCCCGTTCTCTTCCTCAAAGTTCTGACCACAGCGCTTTAACAGCACTCCAACCTAACTGCCAAATGTTTGCTCTTGAGCGTAACATTTGCAGAAGTCACAAGCTCTTAAAGAACCTCAGTGTTCATGTCGCCGTGATGTGGTGCTTTGCTTGCAAGAAGGAAGGAGTGGAGGAAAGAGGGGAGGGTGAGGGGAAAAAAAAGGATCAAAACAGCCAGCAAAGATGAGCCTTATTGTTCCCATAGCAACAATAATGGGCCCCACTTGGCAGGATAGTAGAGAAAAGGGAAATGCAACAGCTAGAATACTGCTGCAAATATCATGGCTGAATTGGCCTATTTCACATGCAGCATAATTTTTTTTTCTTTATTAAAAATGGCAAAAAAACAATATGTCAAGGGGTCAAACAAGGATAGCACAGTATGTGGTGTTAATAGAGTGCTTACTGATGTAGCTTATGGGCTACAATGATCACAAGAGGAAGAGGGCTTCAAAATGTGGTGACGGGGGCTGGGCTTAGCGGTTGGCGTGACACGTCCATTGTAATGGAGAGATTAAAGGGGAGAGCGCGGTTTCCCTGTCTGGTGTCGTTGCATGCTGCCTGAGGTATTAGCACAAGCTGATTGCTGCTGTTAAAATAGGTGGATAACTCAAGCACTAATTGGATCACTATAGAATAATCTCACAGGGGATAAAAACCGACACCGCTCACCCTTCAGGCGCGCGCACGCGCACACACACACACACACACAAAAACAACAAATATGGCACATTTTACCACTAATCTCCACTGCTTCTGCTTTCCTCATTCACCCATCATTTTCAACCGAAATGCACATACTGTAATAACTGGTGCATTCATCCCTTCTCTAAATGAGCACCATAAAGGTGACATTCTTCCCTTCCAGCATTAGAAACAACAAAGGTTCCAAAGTTTTCAATTCTAGCTAAATTGTTTTCAACAGGAAATAGAACTAATCAATGGCCTACTTCTATACTCAAATAGTTCACAGGTAGAAAAGGCTATATGTATAGGCTAAATGGATAGAATTGTCTATTTTAAGGCTATTTTAATTTCGATCTTTAGTTTTATTTTTTGCGTCTACTTATGCTACTGTCATGCAGGTGCCAGGAGGGGACTCTCACAGCAATTTCACAAGTTAACAAGTGGTTTGAATAACTGGAGTTTGGGACTATTTTACAGTGGAAACTGAAGACTTTTAACATGTGTGTACTAACTGTTTGAGCCATCAGTCTTTCATCAAAGAACGGTGAAACTAGGTGCACGTAAAATGTAAGCACATTTGTCCACTCGTGAGTCGTGCCGGGGTAAAAACAGCATTTGTTTGATGTCAAACGGAATGAAACTTAGTGTTCAAAGAAATCAACTTTATTCATTCAGAATTCAGTGCATCTAAGAAATGAGGACTCAGGTTATATCGAATATGGACCTGCTGAACAGATAATTAGAAGCTGGCTGTCATGGTTTTAAGGAATGTTCTACGATTCGGAAGCCTCTCCCACTCGCTGCTAATCATTTTCTGGTGCTATGTTAACTCTTCGGCAGCTTGAGTCAGTGGCTCATACTGTTAAGGCTTAAGACGCACTGCCTGATCAGAAACACCTTCCCTTGTCGAAGAGAGGGATGGTACTCTAGAAAAATGACCTCTCAGTTGCAAAAGTGCTGTTTGATTCTGTCGCTCTCCATATTTTCTGGTAGCTAACATACGCTAGCTCTAAAAACACAGCAGCCCAGCCCACCCGGTTTCCCTCGTAGCCCCAGCTCCAAACCCGTACATCACTGCAGTGCCCCTCCCAGCGAGCCCCTCCCATTTCTGAGCATTTTTCAAAGTTGAGCCAAGGGTGGAGTTAGCTGAAAGTAGTGGGGTGTAGTTACTCTTTAAAGAGCCGTGCCATGCCATTTCTCATATTAAAAAAGGCATTAACACTAACAGTGCATTTAAAGCCAAGAGAAGAGTGAGATACTTCGAGGTAAATTAAAGGACTCTTAAATTGTTGTGCTTTCATGATGTTTTCACATTAGTAAAGTGGTTTTCACATAAGTCACAAAAGATCCGTTTCAAGACTCCGCCACCAAAAATGAAGTGATCATCAGCATTTTGAAGTAAATTATTAGATTGAATCAGTCAAATTGGATTGTAAGTTAATATTAAACACAATATAAAATTGCTAATTTAAAAACAGGTCAAAAATACATCACTTGAGTGCTCTTATTCCCATCCAAAAATAAAAGGTATTTTACTGTAATCAATAACTAACTGTAAAATTTTACCTGAATTTGATTAGTATTATTAATTTTATATTACTCAAGTGTGCACTGTATTGGATCAGGATGGACTGAGAGTGAGTATTTGATCAGGATATCCCTGTCAATTGCAAATTGTGAAAATAATTCACATTTTTACTTTCCCATGCTCAAAAAGATCTTTTAACATCTGATCACTAAATTGCCTACATCATTCCCAAATATGAACCTAAATCAGTTTATTGTTGTAAATAATTATACTGGGATTTTTATTGCATTCACATTAGTGCTGTTAACAATGCCAATTTTCATTTTTTTGAGGTTGCAAGCCTAGTTTGATGTTGCAAACCTAGACTAAGCAACATTTTTTTTACACATGGCGGGAACTAAACACAGAACAACGGAACATGCTTATGCTGACCATAAAGGAACGACCAAGGATTTGTATGTAACTATTAGCAAATATTGAAGCACTGACAAAAATATCTACCTGTTGTCAAAACAGTAAAAAGGTGTTGTGTGCTGTACTCCATTTCTCAAAGTCTGTTTTGCATTCAAAGAACATAAATGCCTTAAAATGTTGAGATATGCCACCCATTTAAGCAAAAACAAGTACAAATGTTTTATTATGTTAGCAGAACTACTAATATATTAATAGTTGATATCAGGTATGCTGGTTACAATGTGTCATAAAATGCAGCTGTTGTTGGTCTATCTGTGGTCTATCTGAAATGGTCTATTACTCAATAAAACATCAATCCAATGGTAGGGCACTGGTTTAAAGGAAGCTGGAAAATTGTAAGATCAGCAGATGATTCTATGTTACACACTACAACACAGGTACCAAGGCACAAAAAAAAAATGCACAGTTAGGCATCTTCACGCAAATAGGGACATTTCTGAATTGTGACTGTTTTGTAGTAGTCTGAAATCAATCAACTGACATTCACTGAAATTATTAAAGTTGGTATGTACTTAACATTTCCATGTCTATGTGTCAGCACTACAGGAAAAAGAAAAAAAAAACTCCATACAGTATAATATCAATATTTAATGTAGTATCACTATTTTATAATAAATAAATCCAAACTTAAGCTGGATACCAACAACACAAATTCAAGCAATTATTAATAATAAATAACACTATCTCCCAATTTGAAAACATTCCACCGTACAGAATTATGCATTAACATAGGAAAAGAAATTCCCATTTCCCCGCTACTCCATATCTTCCCTGCTCTTCTCTTTCCCTTCTCCGTTATCTCTCTGGAACTCATCTCCTCTCAGGCCGAGGCCTATCCCTACTCTAGTTTTCTTCACTTCCGGGCCACTACTGTACATAGAGCTGTCTGTTTACTGTGAGGATCATATTTCAGGCACGCTAAATACAGCAAGATTATTGGTTGTGTGTGTGCATGTGTGTGTGGTTTTGGGGGCAGGGGGGATGTGGTGGGTGTTGCATTAAGGGGGTAGTGAGTTCTGATAAAAGATATAAAATGTAATGTCAAGCATGACCACATGGTAACATATGCCTGACGTTGCCAGGCTATCACAAATATCTGGAGTTACAGGCAGGGATGCACAAAAGCCCTTTGTTTTTATTAGGACTTGGAGATTTTTGAGGGTTAAAGGAAATACTGAAAAGTTGAGAGAGAGGCTTCTGGGGCAAACATATTGAACAGGGCAGCAACACTATGACAAAGCTTACATCACCGTATTAAAGGATTAACCTTAATCCAGCTTTGAATTCGTCAAATTGTGTGTTCTTCTCATGATTAGATGG